TACATTATTTATGCCAATATTTAAGGGTGTTTTTTTAAATTAATAGCACCTGAAATTATTCCGATTCGGATGTAATGCGGGTTATTAATGGCAGGTGTAAACATATACAAACACAACCGGAAATGCACACATATCCATTATCACAAGCTTTTTGAAATGTGACCAACTCATTCTTCACTACCTTTTTCGGAGTGTGACCGCCTTGACTTTCAGCTGGTTGCCTGCAGCCATGTGCAGCAGCGACGATCAACCAACATGGAGCCATGTGCAGCAGCAACATTCAGCTAATGACGTGCAGCTAATGGCGTGCAGCTACATGCCACTGTGACGTTCAGGTGATGTCGTGCAGCTATGTGCCACTGTGACGGTCGGCAGCTATCTGAAACCATGGTGATCTAATCACTGAACATCATGTTTGGCAAATAATAAATAAAGCTGTATGCATATTCACCGATTTTCAGTTGGCCGCCGTCGCCGGATCCCTGTTCAGTGCTTACATTATTTATGCCAATATTTAAGGGTGTTTTTTAAAATTAATAGCACCTGAAATTATTCCGATTCGGATGTAATGCGGGTTATTAATGGCAGGTGTAAACATATACAAACACAACCGGAAATCCACACATAACCATTACCACAAGCTTTTTGCAGTGTGACCAACTATTTTTTTCACTACCTTTTATCGAAGTGTGACAGCCTTGACTTTCAGCTTGTTGCCTGCAGCCAAGTGCAGTAGCGACGTTCAGCTATTGACGTGCAGCTATGTGCCGCTGTGACGATCGGTTGATGACAGGAAACCTAGTTAAAGGTAAAAGCATGGTGTCCTCATCATCGAAATATGAGTCTGATTGAATGTTTTGCAAATAATGAATAATGAATTGTGTGCATTTCCACCGATTTTCAGTTGGCCGCCGTCGCCGGCTCCCTGTTCATTGCTTACATTATTTATGTGAATAATTAAGGGTGTTTTTTAAAATTAATAGCACCTGAAATTATTCAGATTCGGGTGCAATGTGCGTGATTAATGCCAGGTGTAAACATATACAAACACAAGCGGACACGCACACATATGTTAACCCTTTGTTTGCACAGGGATTTTTCAAATTTTCACTTTGTTTGTTTGTTAATTTTGTAAAATTATACAATTTAATTGCACACACGAGCCGCAAGTGGGAAGTGGTTAATGAAGCGGGCGGGGAGAGGTGTGGCACAAACATTGATCGGTAAGTTTACCTTTTGCGGTCGCCGATGGAAAGGGATTTTCCCTGCTGAAACAATATTCGCATTAATTGTACAACTCTAATGATACGCGGTCTCCGGACGACGCTTTAAATTTAATTAATGCGCAATTTTCACTTTTAGCCCAGTTGGCATTTTCTGCTTCTGGTTAGCTTCCTGACCATTAGCTGGATTGTAAAAAAACCATGTAAGAAATAATAAAATGCAACATTATACATACAAATAACATCATACTTTTTTGGGCAGTACATGCATCCTTTGCTGCTTTCAGAAACTGTTCATGAATTTTTACTGCAAATATAAATATAATATAATATAATATAAATAGAACAACAGTAAAAGTAATAAATAAATAAACAAATTTTTCAATAATCGGCATGACGATTGACGAGTCAACGATTGAAGGAGTCATTTCCGACCCTATAATCATATACATATATCATATATATATCATATCAGCATTAGATTTTTTTTAATTTCAATTTTCGCAAAAAAAGGAAAGGAAAGAAAAGGAAAGAAAAACTAACACAGAAGAGCTTTCCGAATTTAAATTAATGAAATTTTGGCTTAGCTATGGATTTTTGAAGCTTTGAAACCCAATACAAATCAAAAATTACGTATTCGTAATACTGCCCCAACCAACATAAAATATCACGTATACGTACCATTGTCCTCCAGACCCCGGAAAATCGTTCCATAAATGTCTTATCTTTAGTAATTTACTTTGTAACTGGTATATAGCTTCATTTATCATTTTTATACCGATTAAGGAGATTATACTTTCAGTAATTAAATTACTATTTTTACACCTTTAAAGACGATTATATTTTCAGTCAGATGCCTAAAAATAAGTGAAGAAGTCATTTATATATTCTTGATCAGAATTAAAAGCTGAGTCGATCTTGCTATGTTTGGGAGGAAGAGAATTATTTTCAAAATTTTGCAAATTTTATATAGGGTTAAAAAGCATTAAAATTTTACAAATTCCAATAAAAATTAAAAATTAAAAATTTTAAACTCCATATGCAGATTTGTTAAACTAATAAAAACTAGCATAGAACTGTTTTCCGTATCGAAATTAAGACATTTTTGGCCAAATTATGATATATTTTCGTGATCCAAGGTTTGCTTTCTTTCCTGTTTTTTATAATTATTTATATTTAAAGGTACTCTTTATAAATTATGTAATTAACATATTACTCAACTAAAAAAATACATTTTGTAACTCTATATTTCTGTATCGTTCTATATGTATTTATTTCCTTGCTTTTCAATCGCATTTTCAAAATGCAATTATCGCGCTTCTTCCCCCCCTTCCACTCCAGATTTCATCATCAAAACTCAGTCGCGAAGAGAAGCCAATAATTTAAATGTTTTCAGGGCTGAGGGGAGACAGAAGCTGCCATGCGGTCCAGAGGCCAACATCAATTTAAAATCATTTAATAAATTCGCACTAAATTTCAATTCCGTTTTCATTAAATGCCACATAAATTATACGCACTCGGTGGCAGGCGGGCGGGGTTGGTTTGGGGAAAACCAAAGGGGGAGGATGGCTGGGAAAACCATGGAAAGTGAGGGGGAGGGTGGACCTGAAGAGGGCTGCGATTGTCAGCTGGGGCCGCCAAATCGCGTGTTACCATATTTCGCATTCGTTTTAAATGCCGCGCGCCATTTGCGCATAAAATGCTTTTAATTTTTCGTTACATTTGTCGTTCCCTGCTCCCTGCTCAGGCAACAGACAACAGACAACAGCCTCCGCCTTGCCACGCCTCCCCGCCGCCGACGAACCCCTCGTTTTCCAACCATTTCCCTCGCTTCCAACTTGGCCACATTTTCAATTCGACCTCAATAAAATTTACGCCCAAAGGCTGCCGACGCGACAGGGCAGAGGGTGGGCGAAGGTGAACCGGTTCGGGGTGTAGGGCAGAGGTCACAGGCGAAGATAACCGAAAGGGGATGGTAGGAAATAAGGAACTAAGGAACTCACTTTGCCAGATACCCTCTTCGGACATTGGAAATGCCAAGAGGAAAAGCTAGAGATTTAAAATCAACTGAACAACTTTACACTTAAATATTGTAGAATTTCAAATATATTTTATGGATCTGAAATATTTTTCAGCATAGCACTTTCATCTTAAAAAAGATTCTGAAGCTATTTTGTATGTTTTCAGTGTATACACAGAAAGATATACTAGATATATAATCACGTCCAGCTAAAATACCAAAGGCAAGCCTGTTTTATTACTCGATAAAACAACGATTCCATAATTCATGGTAACTATAACCAGTTATTAATATATATTTTACTGTCAAGCATTAATGTTAATAAATAAATACATTAGTGAGGGCTTTTATCGATTCGTGGTAATTATTGTGAGTTAAATTTTTAGTCATTCGCAGGTGTCTGTGTTGTTGTTTATAGTAACTCCGTTGCGCGCCATTGCCCAAAAAGTGTTCATTTCCTTTTCGGCGTGTTATCATCGCCACTTCCGGAAGACGCGGCGAAAGACAACAAGGACAAGGACATTCAGTGTGTGTGCGTTTGTGTATGAGAATATATTATATATTCGTGTTTGTAAAGGGCAGCGCTTTAAAGGAGACTTTAAGAAAGGACGTTTTAACACGACCTTGCTTAAAATAAAAACTAAGGATTTCCGCTCTTATTTTCCTGTACTTTTCGCATATTTTTCGTATATTTTTCGTATATATTTTTCCTCAATTTCGTTCCCCTTTCCGGGCGACTGCAAACACAATTTGAATGCTGCCGCTGCCATCAAATCGAGCAGAAAACATCGCTGCCCGTCGCTTTTCCCTCCCCCATTAGCTTTTCCGCAGCGGAAAAAGTGCACCCGAGTGCAGGGGCAAACTTTTCACTTAATCGCTTTTCGTTGCGTTTGAGGGAAAACAAACAGAGCTAATTTGACTCTATCTCCACGGCGCCAAGTTGGGGTTTTCCCTTTTCATTTGCTCTATCTTTTATTTCCCTTAAAAAAAAAAAAAAAAAACATGAAGAAAACTTTAAGGACTTGTCCATGCGTAACCAAATAGGGTTTAAGGATGTACAGGAATCGAAGCAGTGAAGTTGTTAGTAGATTGCCTTGATATTGCATTGCAAACTTGAACTTGAATAAAAAGATTTAGAACGGAAAAATCTGAAAAATCCACAGGTGTCTAAAAACTTAATTCTAATGTATTTAAAAATAAATAAATTTTCATTCTTATCATGGTAAGCTTGCTTTTTATGCTTTTGAATATAAAAGAAAAACCTTTCAAGTGAGCTAGAAAATCAGTGGGTTGTGTTTCAAAATATAAACTTAATTAATATTAAATAGTTTTATAAAGTAAAAAAGACAATACCATTTTTTACCCTTTCAGGATATTATAATTTCAGTCAGAAGCTTGTAAAAATGTGATGGAATCATTTCCGACCCTATAAATCATATATATTCTTGATCAGCATAAACTGGCGAATCTTTCTAAGCATCTTCGTCAGAAAAAATTTTTTTTCAAAAATTTTAAAATTTTTTAAGGGGTTACATCGTTAAAATTTAAAAAAAAATGTCCAAAATTTTTACATTTTAAACTGAGTATGCAGATTTTTTAACCTATCAAAAACTAGCATTGAACAGAACGAATTGAAATTAATGAATTTTTCATTAAGTTATGGGTTTTTTTTAAACTTTGATTTGTCGAAAAATAACATACTTCCCCAAACTAGTTTCCTGTCTTGCTTATTTATATATTTTCCCCCTCCGAGAACCCTAAATGCTATCCAGAAAAACATTGACATAGAAGACGGTGAGCTCCAGCAGAAAGACACCACTGGACACCGCAAGGGCTGCTCCAAAGATATGCCAGGTGTGGCTCAGATCGGCCATGGACAGTGGCTTCAGGATCACCAGCTCACTATAATCCCGAATGCTCATCCTACCAGCCGCGACCATGTCGTAGAAGCTCTTCGCAATCCAGTGCTTCATGAGGCCCGCCTGCAAAGCCGTCAAGGTGAAATCCTTGAGCGACTCGTAGTACACAGAATCCGGGGCCATGACGAAGCTGGTGGGCATATAGTCGTTAAAGCAGAGATCCTTGGAGAGCCGGAACAATGGACGCGAGAAGTGTTGCTGCTGCTGATTAATCACATGCCACTTAATGAGGGCAATAGTGTAGGCCCAGCTGGAGTTGAAGTGATTCCTTAACTCGTAGATCTCTGCAGGATCATTGATCAGGTGAAAGGCGGCGGCGTACTTTGCGCGGAACATACCGTCCATGTCATAAAACTCGTCCCTGATGCCCATGATCTGGATACCACTCTTCAGCAGATCGTCAAAGCTTTCGATCCTCTTGTGGACTGGCGGTGAAATCAAAAGCGACAGCAGCTGGGCGGTGCTTGAGGTCAACAGGATCAAGGCCATTAAACCAGGCAGGATGCTTAGCCAGGAGCACTCCTTTACGTATTTCATGGAAACAAAAAATAGGTAACCCAGCAGAAGGATCACCAGCAGAATAGCCACTGCTCCCGGGCATATAATTCTGACATAGAGATCATCTTTCGGTATGGGCTTCTCCACGGGCAGCATGGTGCACCAGCTGGAGAATAAAACAGGATAGGTGTACTCGTGCACCTTAATCGAATTTCGCTTTGAAATCAGTACGGTTGTGAGGCCCAAGTCCACCGTGCCGTTCCTGGTCAGATCTACCATAAAAGAGCTGGCCGGAGCGGCTCCAGACCGCCAGCCAGGACGAATCATCTCCAGGCTTGCATTTCTTGCAGTGGCAAACGTCTCTATAAAGTCCCACAGGTAGCCAGCTACCTGGAGTTTTCCACTCGCATCCCGATAGTCGAAGGTGTTGGGCGGCGACAGATCTGGGACTACACGCAGGCGATGTCCTTGCAGGTTTTCCATTTTATCCACAAAGATATTTCCATCTAGATCACTTACAACTGGCTTTTGGATCAGTCGGAAGTGGGGAAAGGCCTGGTAGCTGTACAGGATCAAGGATTCATTGTGATTCCGAAAATATAGCTCCACATTGAGCAATTGGCTGTGCAGGCAAATCGATAAATATTCATTGGCCACAGCCTCTCGATCAAAATCCACCACTTCCATGAGCACCGACACTGCCATCAGATGTCGCAGGCTACTGGCCAAGTTCTTTAGCTGCAATTCACCTGAGACACAGTAGTTATCCTGTAAATATCAATATTTCTCATTGACTTGAGTAAATCTTACCCAAAGCTCCTGGCGATAGGCAGGCCAAGACGAATATGTCGCTATTGAATCGATTATATAGATCTGGACAGGGATAACTCTTCTGCCAGACGATCTGTGGATGATGGGTTAGATTACGCTGCCACAACATATTCCAATTGCAGTCGAGTCCTGCGGGATTATAATAGATCATGGTGGTCTCTCCGCCAGCCAGATAGCCCAGGACCAAACCATATAGATCCAACAGCTCCCGGGCCAGTGGCCCATTCAAGTTGGCCAACATGTTGCAGCCACTAGAACCAACTGAAGCACTGCCATTGCATTAGCTTTGCTTTCCAGGTCAGGTCAGGCTAGGGTAGGACAGGACAGGACACCGTGGCAAACGCAGCGTATCCTTATCCGAGAGTCATCGCTCGTAATTGCCCGGGGACAATTGCATCGGGCAATTTAAAAGTTTACACAATGCGCCAGCTCTGGGGCATTGTGACTCCCAAGTATTTGCCTTCTCGATTGTCTTCGTCTCCGTTTCCGTTTCCGCCTTCGGAGAGTCCACCTGATGTGGCCACACATATACCATACTTGCAACGTAGAAGGGAGACCAATTACGGCACGAGTCTTTTTAAATTCTTTAACAGGAAAATTGTGGCAAAAAAGTTTTGAAAATTATATAAAAATAAAGTCATTAGTTTAAGCTGGAAAACCCTAAAGAGAGTGGGGTAAATAATACTAAGAATTTATTTTAGTATATTTAACCAAATTTGTAACGTATTATAAAACATTTTAATTACATGTTGAAGTTATAAATCAAAAGCTTAAGAGTTATATATCTCTCCCATATAAAAAACTCCCCTTTTCACACATTCTTCCAACACTTTAGCTACTTTTGGCCAAGTTGAACTCTGACTGCGGATCCCTGTCCACTGGAGTTTTGTCACCTGTTTTTCGGGGGAAAAAAAACCACAACAACAGCACAGCCCGGAAAACTCACAGCTCTCTGCCCCTCTTTCTTCTCACAACTCCCATTTTGAAACAACGAAGACTATGCGAAAACCGCCCACGCAAGTATTTTCAGGGAAATGTTTTGCGCATTTTGTAGCCACGTTTTTCAAATACACTTGCGACATTTGACAGCTCGACTGTCAGTGCAATGTGCCTCCGCTGCTGGTTTGCTGGTTGTTGGTGTTTCAGTTTTACCCTCCCCCCCACTATCTGGGATCTGTGTCAGTGTCGGTGTGTATGCACTGCAAAAAAAAATATAAAAAAAGCAGACAGGGAATCAAAGTGATCTTAAAAAAGTATCTAATACTTAATAACATAGTTCTTATATCTTATCCTTAAGCTAACAAGGGTCTTCTGCAGCATCAGCAAGCTTACTATCTGTTTTCATTTAACATTCCTAAAATTCGATATTTAAAAAATATACCTAATTTAAATGATTTAAAAAGTTTTTTTTAAGATTTTTAAAGTTTTATAATTTAGGGTAAAACCTTGGCAAACTTTTGTTAGAGTGTCGGTTCTCGCACGTTGATTTTGCCGAGTTGTTTTATAAACCCTCTATACTCCTGTACCCTCTATCCCCTCTTTTAAATCCCCTCACTCCCCTCTTATCACTCCTCCCCCCTTAACAAACCCCCTTTAACAAACCCCCTTTTTTCCAGCTGCCATTGGCATTCATTCACGTGGCAGCATCGCCATCGTCAACTCGACCCTGACGCTGGCTGCAGTTGTAAATAAATTTGCATTTTTGTCAATTTTGATGGCGACCACATGGGGGCACATGGGCACCGAGCAGGGGGGTCAGTGTTTTTCCAGGGGGGGGAGTGTTAAGGGATGCAGCAACACACACACACACACACATGCACACACATATATAGCCACGCATGAATGCATGCAAAGTATGTAAAGTTTATTCATGTACGAGAGTATATGGCGACCACATCAACTGACCCAGGGTTGGATTTTTAAGTTAAAAAATATATAATATATATACATATATATATATTTTAAAAATATCAGATGGGGAAATATCTTTCATCTATATATCTATAAATGATTAGATAAGAAAATATCAATCAAAAAGAGGAGTTTTATATAATATTTGATATTAAACAAAAGTTTTTCTCCTATATATACTTTATATTGAATTATGAATAAACAAAAATAAGCTCTAGTAAATATGTTAAATAAATTATATAACCAAATACAGTTAAAAGAAAAACTACAAGAACTTCATACAAATACGATCCCTAAAGACAACCTATCCGCACCTCAATCACCTCATAGTTCTACCTTTTTCTCAAAATTATTCAAAAATAACTCTGCTATTTTTGTCAAATGCAGCTGGACCTGAAATGGAAATTGTACTGGAAATGAAAACGAGAAAAGAGAACTGGTTGGAAGTACACTGAGCAGCAAAGTCTATAAATGTAGAATGCAATAAGCAATTATTGTAAGTTTTGCACACAATTAATTTACTTTGCTTATATATATGAAATATGAATTATTTCTATATATTTTAATTAACAGAAAATATTGGTAATATTAAAGGGAAAAGGAAATTTTAATTTTAATATTAATATTTTTAAGCCTTTTTTATCGCGATTTATAAGAGAGGAATCTCTATTTAATTTTCATAGCATACTTTTTGGGGCTTCCGGGACCTTGATCGTGTGGATCGAAAAAGCGAACCGAACGAAAGGGGGCGCCACTGGGCACCGGAAACGGAAGAGAAATGTGTGTGTTGAAATAGTCGCAAAGTTGCTGACTGCGTTTTTGGTCATCACTTTGTCGTCATTCTTGTGGTAAACCCATTGTTGTTGCTGTTGTTGTTGCTGCTGTCTTTGCTAGCCTAAACACTATTATCGCAGCTTTGTCAATGTCTGTGTGTGTGTGTGTTTGGTGAAGGTGTTTGTTGGTGCTACCAAAAATTAATTTGCATAATGGACAGACACACACACATGACATTAGCGTAGCTTTTGTGGGCGCCAGGCGGGCACCGACATTGCTCACATATTTTTGAACGTGTGTGTACACCCACACACACACACACTCGCCGCTGGAGACGCAGAGAAGACGACGGGGAATTCGTTAAATCTGAAATAAAATCACAAAAAAAAGAAAGCAAAAAAAAACATACATACAATGCATATTTGCGGACATGTCCTTTTGACGCCATTTATTAACTGCGAATGCCAAACAATGTTTGCATTTTTGATTGCGCCCTGAATGGGGTTCAGACTGGCCAACTCCTGGCCAGCTCCTGCCCATGTCCTGCTGTTTATTGTCCTTTTTTGTCGCATTTATTTAATTTGTGATAAATTATTTAATGCTCCATAAAGGATTACCATGTATTTGGTGTCCATTCGGGGTCACATTGTTCAGTGCTTCAATGATTATGGAGTTAAGGAATTTTATTTTTGTTATGGTTTTGAAGTGTTTTATCTTTTGGGAATTATATGCAAATAATTTATTTTATAAAATAAAAATTATTTAAATTTCAAATTAAGAAGAATATTTGTGAGAAACTTTTTCAAAATTATTTTCTTTCTAATTTGTTATTACCTTAATCAAATTTAGGCATATATTCAAGGAATCCTGTTTTTTAGGAAGGAAAGAAAGCTGGCATCACTGTGCTGAATATCCTTAAGCTTTCTTAATTTTCTTCTCCTCTTCTGGTTTTATTTTTGTCATTCTTGGACGATGGTCATGATGGCCTGAACTTGGAACTCAGAACTGGGGCCTCGGAACTCAGAAGGAAGTGCTTGGAATCTATGTTGCAGCTACTTAAACTTAGTTGGCCAGCAGTTTTGCAGTGCTTTTCTTTTTAGGTTTTTGGAAAAACTTTGCCCTGGCCAAGGCTTCTGGATGGTGGAGCACAAGGAATGCCAGGACAATGTGATGGGCCACAAGGAAAATGCAATGAAAGTGCCACATAAGCATAACAATAAAATCCAATAGAACCCCCAGCTAGAAGGACGATAATGCGATGATCCGGTTATGGCCTTAAGTTTTTTCTTCCGGCGCGGAAAAGCCAACACAAAAAAAGGAGAATTTAGAAAAAAAAATATAAGAAAGAACAGGAGAGAATCTCGGCTGGAAGTTTGAAAATTACTCAGCAAAAAGTTCAGAGGCTGTAAGAATGTGACTGTGACTGTGAATGTGATTGTAACTGTGACTGAGAATGTCACACTTTTAATCACAGACGGCGACAAATTGTTGCAGCTTTTGGTTGGGTTTTGTCTCGGTTGCGTTGTTAAATGTCATGTTAATTCCCTCGTAATACTCGTGTTCATTATGTTAAACACTTAACATGCTCGTGTGTGTGGGAGAGGGGTGTGTGTGAGAGGGGGAGGGGTGTGTCTATGGTGTGTGTGTGTATGGTTGTTACACAAGAGTCAGCTTCAGCTTCGTCATCGCTCGCTCATTTGTTCGCTCGCCTGCGCTCGCCCATGGAACAATAAATGAAAGTGTAACACACTAATTAGTCTTGTATGCGATTCATAATGATAACAGTAATTAACATGTGTGTGTGTGTATGTGTGTGGTGTATGGTGGTGTGTGTGTGTAGGCCCTGTGTGTATTATGAGAGCTCAACAACAACACACACAGCACCCAAACCCCTCACAACATGAAAGCACGCCTCGAATGAACTTTGACTCGCCGCACTTTTTGCGATATGATTATGCGGGTAAGCAAATCATGAATTGAGGTATAAAAAACTTTTAAAAATATCTAATAATTAAAATAAATCTTAAAAAATATAAATAGCTAATTTATCTTATTACTTTATTTTAATTTGTATTAATAAAATTTATATTTCGTACAAGAAACTAAAGTACATGTAATCGTAAATAAAATAGGTAAGTGTAGTAAGTTTTATATAAAAAGGTAAATAAATAATAATATAAAATTATATAATTTACCATATAACCCAATATAATGATATTATAAATACGTAACCCATGATTAAAATACCGAAATTCTTTATAAATCTTGAAACTTAAAAAGAGTCTTGACTTTATAGCATAAAACGTTCAATAAACTTATAAAAAATGCATTAATTCAATATCTATATTAATAAATTAAGGTTTTACTAAATATGTAATTAATATATGTAAATTAGTAAAATGATATTGAAATGTACTTAAATTAAAGGATAAATAGGTATTTCCTTTCTTTTCGGCGTTGTATCTCGTTCCTTAGACTTTTCACCGCTAGCTGCCAGCTTCCTTGCTCAGGATCCTTTATCCCTTGCCACCCCCCCCCCCCCTACTCTCACACACA